GGGTACACCTAGTTGCTCAAACAGCTTAGTGGTAGCTTTGAGGCTAGTGGGAGGTGCAGTATTCTCCTCGACCAGTAGGAAATCGCCCAAGTAATGTAATACTGTAGGGCATCCGGCTATGTTCAATAGTAACCAGCATAGTGCTTCGGCAAATGTGTCGAAAATAGCTGGGCTACTTTTGGACCCAAAAGTTAACCGGGAGAAAAAATAGTAGTTCCCGGACCACTTGATGCCATGCAGGTGCCACAGTGTGGGGTGGATAGGGAGTAATTTGAAGGCGTTAGTAATGTCGGTCTTACTGAGCCAGGCTCCAACCCCTGCTTGTATGATAGCTGTAATGGCGTGATCTATGGTGGTGTATTGCAGAGAGAATTCCTCAGAGGGTATGAGGGAATTAAGACTGGGGTTGGCCGATGAGTGGGGAGCCGATAAGTCAATGATGAGTCTCTGTTTTTGGGAAGATTTCCCTGTGACAATACCAATAGGGTTGGTGTGCCATTCTGTGAATGGGGGAGTTCTAAAAGGCCCCAATACAAAGCCCTCCTCCACTTCTTGGTTTATGAGGGTGTCAACCACTGTGGGGTTGTGTTGGGCGGATTGTAGGTTTGGGCATTCCAGAGTGCCAGCTGGTATGTGTAGGATACCTGTGTGGAAGCCTTCTGTTAAACCAGAAATAAGAAAATCTACCAGGTGTCTAGATGGGTGCTGAGACATCAATGCTGTGAATACTGGCATATTAATGGACGTAAGGTAAGGCTTAGAATACATTTTATTTGGACACATGGTCTTAGCATGTGCCCTAAAACATTTTGAACAGACATGCAATAGTCTACATCCACTGTAATTACAAGACCCAACATTGAAATTATTACATATCTGGGACTTGCCCAGAAACTTGATTGGGCGTCCCAATTTGTCTTTGGATAGTTTCCCTGGATCCCCAGAGGAACTAGTTCCTTGTGTGGAGGCATGTCCGTCTGCCGTGTTGGGACAAAAATTAGTAGTATGGGCTGTGGAGGAGCAGTATGCACAAGCTGGTGTTCTTAGACCTGCAAAGTGTCTGCAGAATAAGACGGTATCAATCCTTCCCCAGTTGGATCGTGTACCGTACTGGGAGAAGGCTCCAGCCACTTTTGCAGAAAAAGACCTATGGTAGTCATAGAATGCTGAACCACCATATTTGTTGCCCAGGTCTACCAGCTTGTGCATATAGAGATCAAACTCCTCTCTTCTGTTGGGATAAACCGCACAGGCGACATCCCTGTAAATACCAAACGCTAGTACAAATTCAGGGATAGTCAGTTTCCTGTTCAGGCGGGCATCCCTAGATCTGACAATAACAGAAACATCATCATAAGCATACGTCTTATGTTCCACAATGTCCTGGGAGGCAATCAACAGGGAAGCCAGGTTGACGTCTTTACCTTCCAGGATATCCCTTTTGATATGCTCAGGTATCATGTGGGCCGGGCTAACTTCCTGGTCATCCAGGGGGCTGGCTGGAGCGACTAATGGCAAGGCTGGTGTTTGTACCGCAGCCGCGGGTGGCCCTGCTAGAGTGAGGGCCGTGGTGACCGACTCAAGTTTCTCCAGCCTGGAGTTGACCTTGCCCATGGATGCCATGAGTGAGGATAACATGGCATGTATGTCCCCTGGGTTGGACTGGCTAGATCCTTCCCCGGCTTCCATGTTATTGGTTGATGTGCGTAGCAGTTTGAAAAGTTCTGCCTTCCTTGCTGTAGCGGGGTAGGGGATTTGTCGTCTCCTTAATTCCGTGGTTATGCGCGGGATTGTCCAGGATCTAATTGATGCTGGACTAGCTAGCTCTCCTCCTTGTGTGGGAGTGACAGCTCTAGCCGGGGTGCTAGGCAGGGAGAAATCCTCTACCCCTTCCTGAGACATACTATAAATAAAACAATAATTAGTATATAGAACCACCAAATTGTACTGGCAGGCTAGCTAGGCAGGATGGCGAAAGTATTATGCTTGTTTGGTGACAGGTGAGGCCCTACTAATTGCCAAGCGGCTTGAGAGGCTCTATCTATGCGTTGGCGCGAGGGGTTATTGAGGCCACTTGACGTAGTGGCAGGAGTTTTAGGCCTCTCGGTGACTGTACGACAGAAAACAGGGGAAGGGAGTGACAGGTGAGGCCCTCTCTTTGCAACATGCGAGGCGGCTAGCTAACGTGTGGCCCGATGGGTGTTTGCCTCCGAAACGTTTGAGGCGGGGTGTTGGCCTCGCGGGACCACTAACTAATGGCGACAGCCAAGATGGGGTAAATACCTATTGGGAATCCTGTGACCCTATTGCCAGTACTCTAAACTAGGGGGATGAAATGAAATGTATGGTAGAATACCATATGAGCAGGTGTACGTACCTGGTAGTATGATAAATCACAGGAATAAACCGTGTGGAGCAATTATATAAGCTCGACAGCCTAAAAATGGGTAAAAGAGAGTAGTACGATGAGTGTGGGGTGTAAAAAGAACCAGACTTATAGTCTGTAGCAGCAATGTATAAAATTATGTTGATACCATGGGAATAGCTATGAGTGGCTCAGAAATGTTTGCATGCTTGAATAAGACATCTGAGGGAGGCCGTGGCCTATGTACAAACAATCTATGTGTTACGTGATAATGGTGTGTAAAGGAAAACATGAAACGTAGGTTATATACATATGTATATGACTGTGTAGGGGACGTATGATTGGTTGGATCAGTACGTGTGATTCAACCCGAGTATGCATGCAAAAGGATTTAAGCCTTATGTGTCATCGTCATGACAGAGAAATGAGGCCTGTAATGTAGGCTGAGTAAATTGAAATGAAATGGATAGTTATAAAACTCCTGGCGTGGGAGTTCAATGATCTGTACCGAAATGTAACTGGTTTTATAGAAAGGGACATGGATGAGGTCATGGCCTAATTAACACAGCGTTATGTATGATATGTAGCAGAAAGACCAAAGGCAGGGATACCCCAAAATGATTTAACATGATGTAAAGTGATGTATATCTATATGATATGTATGTATAGCAAAGACGTATCAACCCGAGAATTATTGCTTAAATGAACCTATCCTTGTATATGTTGTATTAATAACCCAGAAATGAGGCTTGTAACATAGGCTGAGTCCATTCGTATAAATGGATAAGTAATGCAGACCCCTGAAAGCGTGGGAGTCAAATGGTATACACAGAGAAGTGGACTTGATTTGTGGACGTAATACAATACTGACAATTTGTTAAAAGTAATCACCAATAATCTATTTAAGCAAGCAATACTTTAACCGAATGTTATATACACATGAAATGGTGAATATAATTCATGAAAGGATTATACGTGAACACACAGAACAGCCGAAAGCAAATGTGAGGGGAACACAGAAGTTAGAATAGTTTAACCGTATGATTTATGCGAACCAAAGTGTGTGTGAGCGTATGTAACATTTGCCGAACGGCAAAACAACCGAATGAACATTCGTTTAAATAACATGAATAGGATATGCGAAATGACTATTGAACTATTGAAAACATGTTCAGCCGAATGACCGTACGAAATGAAAAGCCCGCGAATGGCTTGAAAACATTCGTGTCATAACCAGGGAAAAGCCGTAAAGCGAGGACCCGTGCTGTACCGTACGCCGTGGGAACCAGTCCTGGCGTGACAGGAAGGTCTGACTTACGGTTTAGGAGTCCCTGGGACGCGATCTACGACGGAGAACGGAGTCAGAAGAAGCTGGACGGGCGGGAAGGCCTGAACAGGATTCCTGGACACAGCTTAACGTGGTGAAACCTCCTGGATACTGAAACCAAGATGGCGTCTGAGAGAACCCGGAAGTGGATCCTCATTCAACGCTGACCTCGAACGGTAAGGAGCCAGGCAAGGGGAGTGCCTTAAGTAGGCTAGGGGTAGAAAACCAGCACCTCCCACAAATGCAGGCAAATTGCCTTAATACATATATATATATTATATATACACATATACACACATACAAATACAGTTGCAAGAAAAAGTATGTGAACCCTTTGGAATGATATGGATTTCTGCACAAATTGGTCATAAAACAATAGACAATCACAGTCTGCTTAAACTAATAACACACAAAGAATGAAATGTTGCCATGTTTTTATTTAACACACCATGTAAACATTCACAGTGCAGGTGGAAAAAGTATATGAACACCTAGACTAATGAGTGAGATGTCAGCCAACTGGAGTCCAATCAATGAGATGAGATTGGAGGTGTTGGTTACAGCTGTCCTGCCCTATAAAAAACACACACCAGTTCTGGGTTTGCTTTTCACAAGAAGCATTGCCTGATGTGAATGATGCCTCGCACAAAAGAGCTCTCAGAAGAACCAAGATTAAGAATTGTTGACTTGCATAAAGCTGGAAAAGGGTTATAAAAGTATCTCCAAAAGCCTTACTGTTCATCAGTCCATGGTAAGACAAATTGTCTATAAATGGAGAAAGTTCAGCACTGCTGCTACTCTCCCTAGGAGTGGCTGTCCTGTAAAGATGACTGCAAGAGCACAGCGCAGACTGCTCAATGAGGTGAAGAAGAATCCTAGAGTGTCAGCTAAAGACTTACAAAAGTCACTGGCAAATGCTAATATCCCTGTTAGCGAATCTACAATACGTAAAACACTAAACAAGAATGGATTTCATGGGAGGATACCACAGAGGAAGCTACTGCTGTCCAAACAAAACATTGCTGCATGTTTACAGTTTGCACAAGAGCACCTGGATGTTCCACAGCAGTACTGGCAAAATATTCTGTGGACAGATGAAACCAAAGTTGAGTTGTTTGGAAGAAACACACAACACTATGTGTGGCGAAAAAAAGGCACAGCACACCAACATCAAAACCTCATCCCAACTGTGAAGTGTGGTGGTGGGGGCATCATGGTTTGGGGCTGCTTTGCTGCATCAGGGTCTGGACGGATTGCTATCATCGAAGGAAAAATGAATTCCCAAGTTTATCAAGACATTTTGCAGGAGAACTTAAGGCCATCTGTCTACCAGCTGAAGCTCAACAGAAGATGGGTGTTGCAACAGGACAATGACCCAAAGCATAGAAGTAAATCAACAACAGAAGAAAATACGCCTTCTGAAGTGGCCCAGTCAGAGTCCTGACCTCAACCCGATTGAGATGCTGTGGCATGACCTCAAGAAAGCGATTCACACCAGACATCCCAAGAATACTGCTGAACTGAAACAGTTCTGTAAAGAGGAATGGTCAAGAATTACTCCTGACCGTTGTGCACGTCTGATCTGCAACTACAGGAAACGTTTGGTTGAAGTTATTGCTGCCAAAGGATGTTCAACCAGTTATTAAATCCAAGGGTTCACATACTTTTTCCACCTGCACTGTGAATGTTTACATGGTGTGTTCAATAAAAACATGGCAACATTTAATTCTTTGTGTGTTATTAGTTTAAGCAGCCTGTGATTGTCTATTGTTGTGACTTAGATGATGATCAGATCACATTTTATGACCAATTTGTGCAGAAATCCATATC